TCACCTATCTGGTTCTGAGAGTCTTTTGAACTTTGTATATACCCAGTTTGTATATTCTCATGCCCCCATTATGGGCTTTGCCCAAGATGTATCCCTGGAAAAGATCTGGGGGATTGCTTCCTAAGGTTGAGATCCGCCACCTGCTTTAAGGAGAACCCCGAGGGCTGCTGGCTGAGCCTCCTGCTGCAGAACAGTGGCCAGTGGGATGCATCGAGGGGTCCTTACACTTGCACATTTTAGCATTTGGAGTGAACCCCTTGCTTGGTTCTAGGCATGAGAGGGGTACTTTAGAAACTATCATTTTCCTATAAACAAATGGTTTGTGATTCTAATGCTCCACATGGCGCCCCCTTCTCCAACCATTCCCAGGACTGAGATAGGAAGACGAGGGGTTCACAGTGGCCAGTACGGCCTGAGGCCCTTTGTGCCCCACCGGTCACCTGCTGTCATTTAAAGTGCACGCAAAACTCCATTTCAACTGTTTGTTAGAAGCTGCTTTCCAGAGAATAACCCAGACCAACAGAGCACAGGTGGACACCAGCCCTAATTGACCTCGTCTGACAAAGACTACTGGAAGCTCAGAATGCCTGCAGAGGTGCCGGGAGGCACAGTGACAAGCCAACCACAGAGGAAGTCACCCAGAAACCCGGGGAGTAGAAGTCCTCAAGTGCCTGTTTTCAAAACAAATGTTTCCTGATGGAACTCGGAGGGAGTCCTGGGCAGCCACCAAGACGGGTAATTGGGCCATGTCAGGGCTTCTGAAGAGACCGAGGAAGCTCAGGGCCACATGCCTGCACAGTGAAGTCTCTCACCAGACCCTTTTCTCCAGGTTTTGTAGATTCCTGAATTCTCTCTAGCTGGGAAATTTGATCAACCACTGAAGTTTTAAAAAGAACTAGGTGAAGAGTCACTCCCCTCCATCCCTGGCAGAACAGTTTAAATCTTGTCTTGAATTAAGGGTTCTCTTAACTCCTAATTACTGCATTAGAAATTGATATTGTTTCTTCAAGATTTACTCAAACCAAGGTTTTTATTTCTCAAAAATGTCATCTCACTAATTAGCATCTTAAAGTCACTTTACCCCATCGTTTAACTGATGACCCTTCATAGTTTTCTGCCACACACTTCTCAGTGACTGTAGCACAGATCCTTCCAATCGACAATCTTACACGAGGAGCAGATGGGTTGATACATCCATTCTGCTGTGGTTGCTATACTTGGCTTCATCTTACCAACAAGTTGGTTAATGCCAGAAGCAAGGTGTAGGTGTCCTATGATTCCGTCCGTGTGTCGGGCTGTGTGCTTAATGACATACACATAATTTTACCATGGTGAGCTGGAGCTGGCTCTCATCCCTAGCTAACTAACTGTGCACATTCCTCCTCAGCTCCACATTCACTGACGTCATGTTGGTAGCTTGAAATCAGCGATGATGGGAATACTTACACCAGGAAAATTGGCAAATGAATCAGGGCTTTTTGTTGGAGGGTCAGGGGTAGGGGGAGGGCTTAGAAAATATCTGGAGCCTGGCTGGTGTGGCTCAGTGTCGACCCAGGTACCAATAGGTCACTGGTTCAATTCCAGGTCAGGGCACATGCCCAGGTTGTGGGCTCGATCCCCAGTGGGGGGCCTGCAGGAGGCAGCCGATGATGTTTCTCAGTGATGTTTCTCTCTCTCTATCTTTCTCCCTTCCTCTCTCTCTAAAATCAATAAAGGGAAAAAATAATGAAAGTATATTTTAAAAAGAAAAAGAAAATATCTGGAGGAAACAAGAAACCAAAAACAGTTACCTTTGCAGAGTGAAACTAGAAAGCAAGGGTATTGAAGAACATATTTTTGTTTTTGAATTTTTTATCATATTCATCACTAGTTTTTAAAAGATTTTTTATTGATTTTTTAAAAAATATATTTTATTGATTTTTTTACAGAGAGGAAGGGAGAGGGATAGTGAGTTAGAAACATCGATAAGAGAGAAACATCGATCAGCTGCCTCCTGCATACTCCCCACTGGGGACGTGCCCGCAACCAAGGTACATGCCCTTGACCAGAATCGAACCTGGGACCTTTGAGTCCGCAGGCCAACGCTCTATCCACTGAGCCAAACCGGTTAGGGCTTATTGATTTTTTTGAGAGAGAAGGGAGAGGGAGAGAGAAAAACATCGACTGGCTGCCTCCTGCTTGCCCCCTATGAGGGATAAAGCCCACAACCCTGGCATGTGCCCTGACCTGGAATGGAACTGGCAACCTTTCGGTGCATGGGACAACACCCAACTGAGCCACACCAGCCTGGGCTCAACTATTTTTTAAAAAAGAGAACTTTCTTTTTTAGGAACAAAGACTTCCCGAAGTGTTTATTAATCCCACACCATAGGCAGGAAACTGCCTGGTTGAGGAAGAGATCAGAGCCTGGAGAGGATTTATAGCAGTTGCCCCAGTGGAGTGATATCCTGGGACAGGAGTTGGGGACTGGGCAGGGCCAGGGCCCTGAGGAGTAGGGCGTACAGCAGCAGGCGGTCCTTCTAGAACTTTGTGCCAGGTCTGAAAGGAGTGCCAAAGTAATGCCAGGCCCCCAGCGAAGACCTCAGGCCAAAATTAGGGTCACCAAACCCCAAGAATCAAACAGAAAAATGGGTATGAAGATCGGACACCAAAAATAGTGCATCTCTAGGGAGGATAGGGGGAGGCAGAGACCTGATACAAGAGGCAGGGGTCACAGGAGGATATTTTCGATTATGGGGCTGGGGGGCAGCTCTTTAGGCCATTCCTGAGACCATTTCCCTGCAGCTTAACTTAAAAGGGGACTTTAGCTCTGCCTAAGCGGGTGGAGGGCAAACTGGGGCAGTGAGGAAACAAGTAGAGACAGGTTCCTCAGCACTGGGGAAAAGGCTCCCCACAACTCCCAGGGGAGCGTCCACAGTCCACAGTAAACAAGTTCCAGGGAGCAAAGCAGAACTCCAGGCGGATTCCAGAAACCTCGCCATTCTGCAGAAAGGACCCCTAGAGGCCCTGGTCAGTGTCTGGGGATGGGGCAGGGGTTCCCATTGGAGGGTTTTGGAGTGGCTTGAAAATTCTGAGCAGAGATAATGGAGGCCCCAGGTGCAGAGATGGGCTACATCCAAGAAAATACATCTGAGATGCAGTGAGATGCAGGATCTGGAGCGTGGCCCCAGAATAGGTTGGCAGGACCCTACTTCTGGGGGACCTCGAGGCAGCATCTCATTCCTCCCTGCAGGCCAGGATGCTTGGGAAAGAGACTCTCCAGGAAACTGAACACAGGAGCATTGGCCAGGAAAGGGAGGGGGCAGTGGGAGGATGGAGTGGGCTGCTGCTCCTCTTGCCAGCAGCCAAATGCCACAGTCTGTGCTCTCCAGGACCCTCAGACATTTCCAAACTCCACCTGACAGCTCAGGAAGCACCCTTTGCAGACTTGTCAAGTAGGGCTGCCACTGGTTACGAGGGAGTCAAAAATCCCATTTTATAAACACCTAGGGCTGCTTCCAAGCAACCAGAACTAATAGGGCCACGACTTGGCCCCCTTCTTTTAATTTGCTGCTAGAGTCCTTCATTTTTTTAAGATAAACTAGATGCATAAATCTCCTATCACTGGCACAGGCTGTTCCCTATCTCCTTTCATATTACTGCAGCTGGATTATGATAAACCAGCAACACCCTGAAAATGCTGTTGAACCTATTGATCAATTATGGTTAGCACTCGCTCCCTCCTCCCCCCCGCCCCCCAACCCCATATCAATTACAGGTAAACTAAGTCAGTTTCTGCTGACATTTACATGTTCAATTGTGAGTTCCCATGACATCACTAAATCATAATATCCAACAAATTCAGCTACTTGGGACATATTTTACAGCAAACTCATTCCCAAAAGCCTGTCAGGAAGCCAGCATCCCATCATGAGATAGTCATTCACTTAACCAACATTGAGACTGTGGCTGCTGTGTGTGTGGTGCCCAGTGCCAAGGATGCAGACAGGGCCTGGCCCTACGAGGAGCAGATAGGCCTATGACTACGGTGCCACCCGCAGGCTGTACGCCTCAAGGACAGCCCTGAGCTGTATTTGTGACAGTATCTCTTGCACCTAACAGGAGGCCTAGAACTTGGTGCTCAATAAAAATTTGACAATGAATAATACATAACAAAGATTTGGGAGATCAGGAGGAAGTGGTTAGCTCTGCTAGGGAACTAAAGAAAGCTTTGCAGAAGAGGTGCAAGAAGCTGGTCTTTGAAACATAGGAGTCAACAAAGCAGTCCAGGAGGGCAGCAAACAGGCAGGCATGATGTGGCGAGAGGTCAGGCAGGAAGGAAGGCAGGATGAAGAAGGATCTTGAACTGAAGGTTACAGATACTAGGCTCTGTTCATAGATTCTACCATCCAAATGATAAACTCTTCTTAGAATTGGAGCCAAGTTGCCTTTTTAGATGATTATTTTCCTTTCTTTGTCCAGTAGTAAAACCATGCTGTTTCCTTTCTCACCTTGACTGCTGGGAAACTCCTCAAGTACTGGGTTCCTTATACTTTTTTGTATCCCTTAACAGTCCTATGTAGGACTTTCCACCTACTAGATCTTATATTAGTTCTGTGTTGCTATAAAACAATATAATGACAAAAGTTGCCACTTAGCCCTAGCCCAATGGTCGGCAAACTGCGGCTCACGAGCCACATGCAGCTCTCTGGCCCCTTGAGTGTGGCTCTTCCACAAAATATCGACTTCTGCACATGGGCCACGAAGTTTCAATCGCACTGTACATGCGTGCCCGCACGTGTTATTTTATGGAAGAGCCACACTCAAGGGGCCGCAGTTTGCCAACCACTGGTCTAGAGTCCCTGGTTCGATTTCGGTCAAGGGCACATGCCTGGGTTGTAGGCTTGATCCCCAGTGGAGGGTGTGCTGGAGGAAGCCGATCAATGATTCTCTCTCATCATTGATGTTTCTATTTCTCCCTCTCCCTTCCTCTCTGAAATCAATTAAGAAAAAAAAAGTCGCCGCTTAAAGCAGTACACATTTATTATATCACAATTTCTCACAGAAGTCTGGACATCCTGGACTGGGACTTCTGCAGGGCTGCCATCAAGGTGTTGGCTAGGGCTGAGGTCTCATCTGAGGCTTGACTGGGGAGGAATCTGCTTGCAAGCTCATGAGGTGGTTGGCAGAATTCAGTTTCTTGGGGGCATCAGGGAGAGGTCTCAATTCCTTGTTCCCTCTGTAGGCAGCCCCAACGTCGCAGCTTGCTCTGTAAAGAAGGTGGTTCCAATTTTATGTAACATTATCATATACACATAATCACATCCATCCCATCACCTTTGCCCTATAATAAGTCCCACCCACACAGATCCCACCCACACTCGGGGGTGGGGGTTACACAGGGCATGAAGACCAGAAGGAAGGATCATGGACCATCTCAGAGTCTGTTGCCACAAGTCCTTGTCAGATATTAACCGCTAAGTGAACTACTCCTTTTGGCAACTGAAGGTATCACTTCCATAGACACACATATTCTCTGCTGAGGAAGAAAGTGAACTGTCCCCCTGCTAAGAATGCTCACCACCCCCGCCTCTATCTACTACAGTGCTGGGCATAGTTGTGCAGGTTATAAATATGGAACAAAGAAATGTTTTAGGATTCATATCACTGCTGGAAGGACCTGGAGTTTTCTACCATCAGGGTGATTATCTGATTGTCATAAATTTCTCGATTGACATGTGCAATTTAAAAAAACCCATAAAACAATTATAACAGTCACAAAGTGAGAACAAGTTCAGACATCACTATTATGAATGGGCTCTTTCCTAGAAAAATGTCTCCTAGCCCCTAGCAGCTACTGTTTCCTCCACTTTACAGATGAGCTATGTACATGAATACCATTTTCCAATTCTGCTAGTGCAAAATTTCACTAGCACAGGATAAGTGCATGGGCTACAGAGCCCGGTGGCCTGGGCTGACATCAAACTTCACTTACTATGTGACTTTGGACAAATTACCTAACTTCCCATAATGATAGCAAATGCTTTACTACTTGCTTTGTGTAGGCTCTTTACGTATATTAAATTCATATAAATTCATTTAACTCATATAACCACCCTGGGAGGTAGGCACCATTCGTATCCCTACCATTATTCTCACCTCAGTTAGGTGAGAAAACTGAGGGATAAGAGTTAAGGCCTGGGTTTACTATTCTTAGCCTGAGCAAGAACAGGGAGAATGAAGGGTAAGTGGTGGACAAGACAACCTTGAACAAAGGAACAGCAAGCAGGATGCTAGTGCCAGCAGATTCTAACTACTGTCCCCACTGCTGTCCCTGGCCAGGGAGGACAAGCAGAAACTGTGTGGTTTACCATTTGAACCTCGTCTACTGACTAAGATCTCGTGCTGACTGAGATCTTAAACATGACTTGCATCCCTGGGCAGGGTACGAGGACAAAAACTAAGCCAGAATGCCATCATCTGGGAAACTGAATTGCGTTTTGCTTAAAGGTAGCCTCACCTCGGTGAAAGTTCCTCTATTCCAGGGGCTGGTGCCCAGCCACAGGCTCCGTTTCAGCTTCTGCAACTTCCCACCAGCTTCACAAGGGCAAAGGGCATCTGCGTTAGCCTGTGAGCAAGAAGCCCAGCTGTGTGGAACCAAGGCTTCCTCATGCTCCGATGGCTTGGGAGGGAGGGGGCCTTAACACTGGGAGGAAGCAGATAGAGCTGACAAAGATGCAACTGGAGGAGGGGCCCTTTCAGCGAAGTCAGGCTCCCCCATTACTGCTGAGGAAACAAGAGAATGCACCAGGGAGGGGGTTAGGTGCTGGCAGGGAGACAGCGCCGAGCCTCCCTGGATCTGGGTGTCCCTTACTCTGCATTTTCCTCCCACACGCACCTTCTATCTCCTCTGTCTGAGGAGAGCCCCAAGAGATTCCAAAACCCCACAGAACCAGACGTCCTCTTAACCCAGGACCCCTTCCTCTGCCCATTCGTCCCCTCACCCCTGTACTCAGCTGAAGGCCACCCTGCCCGTCTGGCTTCTCTGGTAGGGCTTAGCAAGCCTCACTCAGAAGCAAACACAACGTTTCTTACACTTTTCCCGCCAACATGGCTGGGTAATAGCTGGGAGGCTTCGCTGGTGGCTGAGACACCCACCAACTGAGCGCACCTCTGCGCCGACAGGATCCAGCTTGCCGCGGTCACACAGTCCCCATTCCTGCCCTCACTCCCTGGGACATTCCAGCGCCCCTTGCATCTCCCCATCGCCCCTTTTCTGCCTGCCTATCTCCCTTTTCTTCCTGATGGCTGGGAGGGGGTTCTCGGTGCTCCGGGGCTTACTGCCCTCGAGTGTGCCCATTTTCCCGTGGGGGCGGGCGCGGTTACACCCGGGAGCGGCGAGCGCGCGGTGGG